ATCTATCTATCTATCTATCTATCTATCTATCTATCTATCTATCTATCTATCTATCTGTAATAGTGGTAATGCATACATATTTTCCAAATTTTAACAATTATGTAAGCAGCACATCGATAGAATTCCCAAAATAATTTCTCTTATTATATCAGTATGGATTCTTTTTACTATCAACTTTTGATTGTAGTCATTTTTGTTTTAAAATGATCTGATTTTTTTAGGAATAGAAGATGAAAATATCTATATATTACCACTAACAGATTGGTGAAATCAATATAAAGTATTTACTTTTAATTAATTTTCAAACCAAGGCATGTATAGGACAGGAAAATGAAGTTGTTTTTAATCTCAAGGACAACAGGTTGTCTAGCCTCCCATATCAAAAACAGGATCTATTTTTACACAAGAATACTTGCTCCTATTATGGTTAGGTTTCAATTTACGATCCTATATATGTAGTACAAAGCATTTTCATAATCAAGTATTTTATTCCAGGCATGCTTCTGACCTATGGAATTTCATTCAAAGGAAGTCTCATCTGGAATCAACCTTGCTGTATTTTAGATGCTAGTTGAATAGTTAGAAGTAGAATAGATGGCAAATCTTTTTCTAAGGTATCTTTGCCAGATAGTTCTTTACAGCTAATTCCTGCCTTGACTACTATAATGTTCTACCTCAGAAGCTATTTCTGAAGAATTCCTTGAAGAGACTATTGTTCCAAAATACAGCAACTTTGTTCAGGGGCTCAATGAGGGAAGTATAGATTATGTTTTTGAAAAATGATATGGAGACTGCTAGCTTGCTTCTGGGCATATTTTAACATTCATGCTGGACTGGGTCATTCAAAGCTGACAGTTTTGAAAATATTTGCTAAAATGTGATCCATTCAAAGCTATCAGTTCTTATCAATCAGGTACATATGTTCGATGTTCAGTAGGGTCTCTCTATACATTTATTTATTTAATTTGTTTGTTTGTTTGTTTGTTTTCCATAGCTGTCCATCTCAAGTGATACTTTTCAACATGTATCAGGACTAAATAGGAAAGATTATGCATTAATCTCTACACTGCCCGGAGATGGGTAATTAAGAAACAAGAAATATCATAAATAAATAAATACAATATTTTTGACTTGATAATAATGCTAGAGACAAATAAATGATGTATGGATATTGAAGAACCTCACTAAGGATGCCTAGAATTTTGTTTACATGGGTTGCATTAGCGTACATTGTCTATTTTTGCTGCTTCATGCAAGATAATTAATACAAGATAGTTTCAATCCCATAGTCCATTTCAATTGCTTTTCTAGTTTGTGAGTAGCTTTGGGAAGAAGAAAAAACCAGAGGCAACATTTTCTATATAATATACTGTATGTATTTTTTAATTAAATGGAACATGGTTAAATTGTTTTTAAAATGTTTAAAATGTTTATTTGAATTTTATATTTGTAATAGTCCATTATCTTTATTTTCATATCCTTTAAATTTTGACCATTCTGCTAAAATAATTGTCAAATTTTGCATTGTTTATAACTGATATTGGTTCCTGATATCTTGAAAGAACTTGTGTATTTTTAATGATTTTTTTGGTCAAGAATAACACAGTATTTTCATAGTAGGCAGAATCAGTTACATTAGAGGAAATGGATAGAAATTGTAAATATTTTTAACCTAATAAAATATGAGATAAATACAGGTTTTTTTTTGTTTCAAGGCTTTTGAAATATTGCTCCAAGATTTATATTGTTGGGAAATGTTCAAAATCTTTCAACTTGTTCCACTTAGTATATTCATAACACTGTATATTTATTTGTTGTTTTTGAAATTACTAACCATATATTGCTCAATAATAAATAAATTATGACTTAGACTAATTTACTTTTATCACAAAATATGTTTTCCTTCTATAGGTAATACTGTTCAGATTAATATTATAAAAGTAAACTCAGATAAAAAGATTTTTTGAGATTCTAGATTTTCTGCGTGGCCAAAAGTTGTTCACTTACCAAGCTTCTTTCTTTCTTCTTCTTTTTTTTTTTTTTTGCATAATATTTACCTCAAACTTGCTTCAGGCTAATGTCTCAATAATTTCCACTCCTTTCTCAGGTCCTTACCACAAAGGACTTGACTAATGATCCATGGACAAAATGAAGCATTTAAATTTATTCATTAATCATTCATCTCCAGCTCATTGAAAACTTTAAACTTCCACAAAATTAAGATAGAACATTGAAGAGTGATTGAGGGAGACAGCTTTCAGTGAGCTAAAAAAGACTGGTAAACACAAAAACAAAAGTACATTAGACAGAGTCTTAAAGTGTCACATGGGCATCAGTATTGTTACAGTTTACATAAACTTTAAGTACTGAATCGCAAAGCCTTTATTCGGTCCAACACAATGGGGAAATCTGGGGAAGCGTACAGTCACTGTCAACACCACCAGTAATTATTCTCTCTTCCAATTAATGGTGACATAGATTAATTATCAGATGAGGCAAAGCCAATTGCAATCAGTCACCCAGAGCTGAAATTAGATCGTTCCTGACAGCAGCATGAAAGTCACCTGTTTCATTGTTATGGATTTGCTGTAAGTAAGAGAATGGCAAGGCATGCTGGGAGGTGGTGAGTTTTTCGTCCATGGAAGTGTGAAATGGCAAACAGGTGAATGTCCAATTACACTGTTATCTGAACTGTGTGACTTTTCTTGTCTTATATTTCAGCATCCAAGACACAGTGGTTGTTTGCATTATCTTCTAAGTAGACAAACCATCTGTCAAAGACTTCAAGAAAATGTCTGTATTTTGGACTGTCTCTAATAATCCCCCCTATATGAAACAGAAAAAGAAAAACAAGAACACATTCAATAAAGAAATAAATCCAGTTTATGAAAATATACATATAGAAATGGTAGCAAGAATTTTCAAAACAATCTTTAATATTATTTAAAAAAGTGAAAGCACTGCCACTTTATTAAAAAAAACACAGGACACTCATTCACACATTCCTGCAACTTGGCTGACTCTTGATACAAAACTATCATAAGATTATCTTTCTGAAAGTAAACACCCAATTTTCAGGCAAGTTAATGAAGCTTTATGTGCAACCAGGTTAGTATTACCAGTGGTATAAAGGTAAGAAGAAACTAGTTTACTCAATTTATTATAATAATAGAATATTGCTTTCATTATTTGTCCCTTTTTCATGATGTTGAGGGAAGCAATCACATGTAATTATAAACACATATACATCTTTTTAAAAATCCTTTTGTATTTCTATCCTTAATGGAAATATGTGATATTTGTATCCTAAATTGAAATAATATAGGAAAAATAGACAATGTAGAAAGCAAAACATAAGTTTTATGAAAAAGAATGTATAGAGGAATCATGTTGCATAATGATGACAAGATTTGCTCCTTGCTGTTGCAACCCTCATCCTGTATTTTCTACACTTCAAAAGGTCTTTTTCAATTATATTCTATCTTTTTCTTAACCAAGGAGATTTGTATGGTGCATATCATGTCTGCATCAAGGTGAAATGGCTATTACAGAGATTCCAGTTAAGAAGGTCATCATTCTCTGCATGCATGAAGAGCAAATCAATCTTCTGAAGCAAAAGGAAATGCTATGTTGGATTTGGTGCTGGCAAGTAGTGTGACTATGATAGATAAAATGGCTGCTGGGGAATAACCTTGGACCAAGTGATCATGCATTAGTCCAGAAGGATTTAATTGAATAGGCTGTTGGAAAAGTGGCTGTAACTAAGGTATTTTATTTCAAAATGGCTGATTTTGACAAGCTACAAGTTGAGTGCAGAGATGAACTAGATGTCATTCTGGGGAATTATGGAAATATGGAAAAGGATCTACATTTTTAAAAGAACATTGCATAGATAACTCATATTTTGCATTTTATGAAAGATGAGAAAGTTTCCAAGCCCTGATTGCTTCTATTAATGTGATGCATACAGATACCACCCATTTCTAACTATTGAACCATGAACCTCTGTACCATTGTGATTTTAGCAAAGGAATCCCATTGCAGCATAGAAAGTAGTCAGACACTTTTGCAGTTTTCTTAAAACCGACTGCATAAAGAAAGGTGAGAGTCATAGTACCATAATTACACAGGGGAATTTACTGAGCTGCATATACTGACAATGCACTTGCTTTCTTTCATTTGTATAGATGGCCCTCTTGTACTGTTGTATGCCAGTTACTTATTCTCAGAAGTTTCAGATAGTTTTACAAGTACTCCATGTTCTTTTTCAGAAAGCTCATAGTCGCTGTATAAAATTATGTCACTGTATAAAATTATATTGCATTTGGGTAGCAATAACAAAAAAATAAAATCAAATTTTTAGAAACCTGCTGAGCCAGTTTCCTGGGCTATATGTTATGCAACTGAAGAAAATCTTCCCCCGTTCTAATCTTAAATTCAACACGCATGCACAAACACAGAGAGAAAGAGAGAGAGAGACAGAGACAGACAGACAGATACACACATACTCATACACCATATACTTGCAAATTATTCATATATGAAGCGTACTCATTTTATTTATTTATTTTTGCTTATTGAAATTGAGTATGTAAAGTGTCTCTGAAAAGTACATGCTTAAGGTGATAGTTGTGTGATAATGAAGACTCTATAGTAATGATAGCTCATTATTTCACATATTTGGTGAAACAATAGCCATCAAATGATAGGTGTAAACCTGATCAACATTAGAGATAAAAAATAAACTCCAATTTCTGGTTGCTTTCAGGATGTTGGACAGACAGATGCAGAATTACTACTGTTTTTATTAGAAAGAGAGAGATCACACTTTGAATTCCAAATAAATACTTCATACAGCTTGGTTTATTGCTAAGAAGAATAAGAAAGTGATCTATACACAGTAATAGAGGATATTTACAAATGTAACAGTGCCATAGTATTGCTGCAAAATGTGGAAATTTGTTCTTAATTGTTGAAACATTGAATAAACAAATGTATTAAAAAAGAAAGAAAGTGATCTATAAATTAGAAGCAAATTGTGGACATCTGAATCAAGATTTGTCAGGACCAATTATTTCAAACACATCTTTGTTCCTTTTGTAATGATTTAGTAGTAAATGTAGACTACATAGAATACTGACTGTACCTAGAATGGGATTAGTTGAGTGTACTGCTCCATCTAGAATATTAATTAATCTGAACTTTTTTAAAAATCAGTTTTCCAAGGATGTGACATGACAGGTTTCATTCTAGAAATAAGGCTTTGTATTAGTATACTAAAATTTTAATGGTAGGATTGCATTTTGGAAATAATAGTGCTCCAAAGGCCACTAGTCTGATTTGAATAGCTTTGCTAATTTATCAACCCCAGGTCTCAGGGTGGATTTCTCATTACAGGTATTAACTTTACCATACTTAAAGAAATATGGAGAGAAAACCCCTTAGCTACTATGACTATGAGCATGGCATGCATTTAGAAGCCATAAGGACAGCAAATTAATACCTAGTGCATTTACTATTTAGTGTTATAAGTAAGATAACAAGGTAAAAACATTGAAACTTAAACTTGACTGTTTCCTCATTAATATTCCCACATTTGCTACTTTGGAAATAGGTTCTACAGGGTTCTATAATACTTTTTTCTTTAATACTTGTGTTTAGGGCAGCAGCTTAAAATACATAAGCACAAACATTTAACCATAATAACAAAAATATAGAAGGTTCTTATTAGGAAGAAGCAATGTTTTATTTGTATTTCTACATACTATTTTAAAAATTCAATCTAGGAATAAAGCAGTTCTATCTTTCAGGGAAAACTGGATGGAACCATGCATTACATGAGTAAGACATTTAAATAACTGAAAAGGTGAAAGTGGACAATCTTGTTAAACAAATACTTTTATTACTAAGAGTAGGCAGATATGCCAAATGGAAATGCAGATAACAAATTGACAAGAGACTCAA